ACTCCCCCGTTTTCTCCAGTCGCCGACGCAGCGCGACCGCTCCAAGTCCATGATCGCGGACCGCCCACTGTCGACGATTAGCACTGCTTCGAATATGACAAACGCATCCAGCACCAGCAATTCATCAGGTGGCCGGAGATTTCTGGGGTTGGGGAAGGATAAGGGATTAAAAGAGCGGGAGAGACAGAAGATACGAGAAGCCGAGCGAAGAGATCCCACCGCTGCGGAGCTTTTGGCTGTACAAGATGCCGATTCTTCGTTCACTGCTTATGACCCTGGCCTTTCAACGGCTTCTTCTCCACCTTCAGCATACTCCTCGGGCACGGCCCGACCACGGCCACGGACTCGGTCCGAGCGTCCCGCATTTTCGTCCTCCACGCCGCCCTCTAGCACTTCGCCTACGTCGAGTTCGCCTGCGCTTTCTTCTTCCGGACATTCTTCACATGGACACGATGTGGTGCCGCGCTCGCCACGTCTCGGCGTCAGTCTTGGCGCTGGTGAGGGTGGGCTGGCAACGAGGCTGAGCGGCTGGTTCTCTCATCTATCGGGCAGCACCTCGGATTTGTCGCTCACGTCGACTATCACCGGGTCACTGGCACATTCAGTGCACACAGCTAGTGCCTTAGCGTCCAGTCGATCGAGTCGCAAGTCGGACTCGGGGCAATCGAGCTCCCACACGAGCTCCAAGACGGCTAGGGCACATCACGGGACGCCAGGCAAGGAACGGGGTGACTCCAAGGACAGCGGTCATTCCCAGACCACCAAGTCCGGGGCTGGCAAGCTCGGCAACGGAGGTGGAATCCTGGACAAAGCCGTGCGCTACATCTTGGACGGAGATACAATTCAAGGTAGTGTCGAGATCGAAGAAGGGGAGGAGGTATGGTTTATGGGTGTGCGCATCGCGGGAGACGGAAACAACAGCGCTTCGGAAGCTTTTCATGCTGCGTTCTACTCGACCGTTTGGTGTACGTATCGTGCAGGATTCGAGCCGATCCGAGATCTCAGTGGATTGTCTGCATTGCCGCCGCCGCTTGTGTTTGCGCCTGGGTCTCCTGGCGGACATCAGCACAATGTCTTGGCGACACCGGGTGGTGAGTGTCTTGTAATTCCTTCGAACGGATTGAGTGATAATGACTTTTTAAGGCGGTTCACACCATAGCCATGTGTCTCGCTCACCCAGTGCCAGCACTGGCAGCGAAGGCGGCTGGAGCGACGTTTCATCCTTCTCTCATTCGTCTCATGCATCGTCACAACAATCTCATCACTCCAATTCGTCTCATGCCTCGAACTCCTCGTATTCGTCCTCAGGGTCCGGCACGAGCAGTAAGAAGCGGTGGTGGGGACTTTCCAATATTCCTGGAATCGGATCCCTCGGCACCAAGGGCTGGACATCGGATACCGGTTGGGGATGCATGCTGAGGACAAGCCAGAGTCTGCTGGCCACAGCCCTGGGTAGAGTGGGAGGTGCGTGTTTTCTATTTTTGCTCGCTTCTGGACCCATGACTTATCGACATGTCAGAGCCCTCGTTGACACCCTCCCTGCCTCCAGCCTTCCCTCCGCCTGGATATGCTCTTTCTCCCTCGCCATCAGACCCTGAATCTCCGTTGACGCCACCGCCTCCCCTCTATTCGTCCGACCCGTTGGCCCATGCTGCACTGGCCCACCACGCCCGACTTGTGTCGTGGTTCCTCGATTCTCCTGCCTCACCGTTCGGAGTCCATCGCATGGCACTTGCGGGCAAAGCTGCCGGGAAAGATGTTGGGATGTGGTTCGGCCCGAATGCAGCTGGATCTGCTCTGCGGATGCTCGTAGAGGCGTTCCCTTCGTGTGGGCTGGGGGTTTGTGTCGGTGCCGACGGATCGCTGTATCAGACAGATGTGTTTGCGGCGAGTTGGACCCCGGGCGAGGAAACGGGCCCAAGGTCCTCTACATCGTCGTCATCTCATGGGAAGAGCAGTGGGAAGGCGCCTGTCAAGCCTGAGACACGCTCTTGGGGTGATCGACCGGTGTTGATTTTGTTGGGAATAAGGTTGGGATTGGAGGGTGTCAATCCAATCTATTACGAGACGATCAAAGTGAGTGATGTTGGTCTACTTGTTTCCTTGGTCTTACTGGTCTTTTCCTCTTCAGCGCTTGTATACGTTCCCGCAATCTGTTGGCATCGCCGGTGGGCGGCCATCCTCCTCGTACTACTTCGTCGGCGTGCAGGGTGACGGATTGTTCTACCTGGACCCGCATCATTCGCGACCCGCTGTTCCGCTCAGGCCGTTCATGGGCGAAGATGACCGTGGTGGTTCGATGAGCCCCGAATTGGTCCAGCAGCCTGGACGGGGAGGATCGCTTAGTCCCGAGCCTCAGCACGGTGCCGGACGGGGACATACGCCTATGACGGAAGACGAGCTGTTTATTGGGAAGCAGCCCCAGCGATCCAAGACAGCGCCTGCAGGAGGCTTCCTAGCACCAGAGGAGGAAGCACATTTCTTGCGGTCGTACACCTTCGCTGAGCTTCAGACATTCCACTGCGAGCGTGTTCGGAAGATGCCGTTGAACGGGCTGGATCCGAGCATGTTGCTAGGCTTTGTTGTACGGGACGAGGCGGAGTGGCTCGATCTTAGGAAGAGGGTGAAAGCAGTGCGTCTATTATTCCTTTGTGTGTTGTTGAGGGTCTGATCTCAACTAATAAGCTCCCGCGGACAATCTTTACGATCTTGGACGAGCCGGTCAGCTGGCCAGGGGATGATGATGACGACATCGGAATGGAGAGCATATCGGACCCAGATGAGGAGGTTCCCGACGAGAGTGATGTGTCTGTTGCGTCGCACGCCTTTGCCCAAACTCACGTGCACTCGCACTCGCACTCGACAACGCACTCCCAATCAACGACGGGCACGGACGACGATCCCGTTGCGCCGCTTACGCCACTCCCCGGAGCGCGTTTCGACAGCAAGGGCTACGCCGAGGAAGATGACGGGGACGATGAATTTGTTGATGCCACGGCGGAGATCGAGGATGACTGGGTTGATCCGATCCCGGCTAGCGAGCCTGTCGTTCCGATCCTGAAGAAAACGCCGTCTGGTAAAGGCAGCAAGGGCAAGAGCAAAGGCAAGAAAGAACGGGCCCCGGTTCCGGTTCCGAGTGTCCATTACCCTTTCCCTGTCTCGGGCGAGGAATCGAATCGGTCGACAAGCCCTCCGCCGCCGAGGGATCGGAACGTGACTGTTTCGCCCCGGCCTGGCGGTGGCGTTGTTGAAGCTGGCAGGATGCATAATGCCAGAGCTAGGGATGGGGGCAGGACCCAGAGTGGCGGTGTTCGTGGCATTCTCTCTGAAGACTCTTGAAGCGAGTCGCTTTCGTCTTTCTCTTCGTTCCTGTGTTACATTTGTACATTTATAACATGCTACTGTACATATTACAGCCCCAGATTCCCCGTTTAGCCTATTCTCTCACCTTACATCCTGATACTATTCGATACCCGCAATATCTATTCGATATCATGTCTTATGTTTCTTGTCACTGGTAGCAGTATGCATCCACCTCACCTCACTTACAGTATCCCATGCTATGGTGCGCCGTGAATATAATCACTGCCAAGTCGCTTTCCTTTTTCGGATGTCGGGTGTAGTGGGAAATCAGTCGTGTTTTCGGGCTCTGACAGAATCAATCGCTCTATTCTGACCTAGACAAGCCATGCTAACAAAAACGTGGCTTCTCAACTAGCAAATCAGTGCGCGACTAACCGTAAATTCCTTCATGTTTTCGCTGACAGCTGGCAGGGACATAATCCTTACGTTCAGCTCAATAAGGAAAAGTCTTTCCGGCGACAGTGTTCATGAATGGGGCCATGGAATACAACTGAATCCGGGTGGAATATTGGTTTGGGGTCAGTAACTTCTTGAGGATTAACAGATGGAATGTCGGGTATGAGCGAGACAAATTCAAACAAGCCACACTGACATTCAGAGGTGAAATTTGATGGATTTAGACTACGAGCAATGGCAACGGTAGATGTGCAGAATGAACAGGCTGTAGTCCTGGCCAATTGCGGAACAAATGATCGAGTTGCACCTATTTGGTCAGCGGCTGTGCTTCAGCTGTGCTCCCCGTCCCCGTTGATCTGGCCTCCAAATCTTGAATGCGCCTTATTTATTCCTAGCTGCGATGTCCAACCAATCCCACCGCATACCTATCCACGCCGCGCCATGGAGCGACGACGAAAAACCCTCCTTGAACGACATCACCGCCCGCATGCGAAAGTCGGTATCCAGGGTGTACCGATACTGGTCACCGCGCGCAAACCCCCTAACATCCTCGTCGAAGCCCTCGCAAGCATCAAACTTGAAGTTCATACTTCTGTGTATGCTGTGGTACACCTCCTCTGCCCTCTCGTCCAACACAGGCAAGGCGATCCTGAACCAGTTTCGCTACCCCGTCACCTTGACGTTCGTCCAATTCGGTTTCGTGGCGGGTTATTGTCTCCTGTTCATGTCGCCTGCTGTCCGCTTCTCGCGGTTAAGGACGCCGACGAGGGCCATATTGAAGACGACGTTGCCGATGGGGCTGTTTCAAGTTGGGGGCCACATTTTCTCGAGTCTGGCTATCTCCCGGATACCGGTCAGCACGGTGCACACGATTAAGGTGCGTTCATAGTTTCACCATTCCGAGTATGGTGTTGAGGTGGACATATAGGCGTTATCCCCCCTGTTCACTGTTGCCGCCTACGCCATTCTGTTTGGCGTGAGTTATTCGACCAAAACCTACATCTCTCTGCTCCCACTCACTCTGGGTGTGATGCTTGCGTGCTCATTCGCCACCAATGCATCCAACTTTGTCGGTCTCCTATGCGCATTCGGCTCCGCGCTTGTTTTTGTCAGCTCCAATATCTTCTTCAAGAAGATCATGCCGTCGAACTCGGCTCAGTCGAGTGGGCACAAACTTGACAAGCTAAATCTGCTGTTTTACTCTTCCGGGATGGCGTTCCTCCTCATGATACCCATCTGGATGTACTACGACCTGCCGCGCCTCCTGTCTTCTGTGCCTTCGGCTGCTGCATCCTCAGCCAAGCCGGCAGCCCACGGCGTGTGGTACTATTTCTTCATGAACGGAACAGTGCATTTTGCGCAAAACATCATTGCCTTTGTCATCCTGGCGTCGACCTCTCCGGTGACCTATTCCATCGCCTCGCTCATCAAGCGAGTGTGGGTGATCTGCATCGCTATCGTATGGTTCAGCCAGACGATCCATCCGGTTCAGGGCTTTGGGATCGTGCTCACATTCACCGGATTGTACATGTACAACAACGCCAAGGGCGATGTTGAACGTGGAGAGAAACAGATGCGGCGGGTCGAAGCTGCCCGGGACCTTGCGCTGCCAACGACGAAAGAGGAGGCCGCTGTCTTTTCTGGCAGGAGCGAGTCGAGTGCAGAGACGACTGGAACGGATGGCATCACAGCCCTGCACGGCCGGCCGCGTGCCCCGTCAGTGGCGCTGAACTCGGTCAAGCCACCCCTGCTCCCGCATCCTTATCTTCACTCCCAGCAGCCACACGTACACAATCACCATCATCATCACAATGCTCCGCCGCTGACGATTCGGGTGACACCGCCGATGCCTCTTTCGCCGACCGACTCGTACCCGTCACCACCGCTTTCCGTAGACTCCCCTCGATCTCCGCCCCTCCACGCTTCTTCAAGGCACATTCTTGCGGAACCCCGTCGTATCCCGGCGGCTGCGTGAGCCGGCGGAGGTCTGGACCGGTCTCTACCATATACACATATCTATTATACTTAGACCACATCTTTCAATCTGGATCTGGGACGTGCATATATCGATAATTGAACAACTCTGCGAGTCTCGTACAATGTTCGTCTCGTATCTTACAGTCGTATCTAGTCTATCACGGATCGCAAGAACGAATAGTAGGCCGGCAATTACTCGACATGGCCGTTGCCAACGACCGGGTCGGCGGGTTCTGCCGGGCTATGTCGCTGGACGATGCGCAGCACGTTATCGAGGACGGGACGCACGCGGCCCTGCACCTCTGCGCCGACACGGGCAAGCTTGTCTTGGACCGTGAGGTCAGGAGTGGTCACGATGGAGCTCAGAGTGTGGATCGCATCGGTCAGTTCGTGGGAGGCGGTAGCGGTCGAGCTCTGCACTGAGGCACTGGTCGAAGCAAGCGATCCCTGGAGGCGCTGCAGCTGGACTAGGAGAGAATCAGAGAGCGCGTGGATGCGGGTGCTGGTGGAGGCAGCGAGCGCAGCGATGACGTCGGTCGTTTGCATGGCGCGTTGGCTGCACGTGCTGTCAGTCAAGCATAGAAAGCCAATGGCGGTGATTCTGCACGCACGCAAGAACGGTGTGTTGGGAGTAGTCGTAGAGCTGGCCGGTGACTTGTTTCGAAAGCACGTAGACGCGTTCAGCTTGGTAGTGGTATTGCGCATCGGCAGGCGTCGCCGGGGTGTGCAGACGGTTCACCGCGGTCGATTCGAGATAGTCGACGATGGGTGTGAAGCGCTGAAATCAATCAATACGGACCTCTAATCGATGGAAAGCACAGACCACAAACCTGGTCAATCTCAGAGACCGCCGTCAAAGCAGGCGAAGTGACACGCGCTTCGATTGTCTTGTTCGCACTCTGCTGCTGTCGGTCCACGAAATCGACCACGCTCTGTCTACGCGAGCGCACATACTCGGCGACTTCCTCGGGCTGCGCTTCGAACGGATAGGGGTATTTGCTCTGCACGACGTCCACAGCCTTGTTCGCGAGCCCGTCCACTGATTGGATCAGGGGCGCGAAACGGACTTGGATGGGGGCGCTGTAGTTGTATGCGGTGAGCGACAGATCCTTGGCCTTCGTGTATGACGAGGCGGTATACGCGTTCGACGATAGCGTGGAGCTGATCTGCTGCAGGGAGTAGCCCACGATGGGGATCGAGGCGAAGCGGTTGAGGATGGTGACCTCTGGGGGCGCAGGGGTGTCAGAGGAGGGCATAGGGACCGTGGAAGCCATGTTTGGAGGAGCAAGAAAAAGGCGGTGTGAATGAGGTAAGAGATTGCATTTTTGTAGACGGGACGAATTGGCATGTGATTTCTAAAGTTGGCGCGATTCCAGCCTTCCAATGTCTCGAGCGGCCTCACCTTATCCCTGGGCAGTTTTATACGGCATGTTCACGGGCCTAGTGCCCCTGGAAATGTCTCGATTGGAGTTAGCCCTCGCAGGTGTTTCTTCTCTACTTGCACCAGTGTTGATAAGATATGCGAAATCTCACGTCTTCAATTGACAGGTGCTCCGCTATCTCGACTCTGGAGATTGTGAATACCCTCGCCGGAGCTGACGAGGACGTCAATACGCTTCATATATAGCATCTGCGACTGCCTCCAAATGAATCACCTCCGAATCCTTGTGAATTATGCGTGCAGCACTCGCCCAGCCTGTGATTTTTTCAAGCGACGCAGCTGGCTTGTGATTTCTGAGCGGCGATCAGAGTGATGGAAGCATATCAGATAATCTAATCTCGCTCTGCATCAAGAAACCTTGAATCTTGAAGTTTATCATTGCTTGCTCTCTTTCCGCTGACTAAACAGTACACTAGTATTTTAGGATCGAAGCCGGATGGGCAACATTGGTTAATAATATGGGAGGCATCAGAACTACGCCCCACGACCGCCTGTGTCAGGTCTCCCCCGGCATTGCTTCTTCACTCTTCGGCGTCCGCAACCTTTTTCTTTGTCCACTGAATTTATTGGTTCCACTCAGGCGGTGATCCTTGGGCGCGCCTAATCTGCGACGCATCTTCTGATTCTCCTCGGCGCTCGCGGGTGGGTGCTTAGTGATTGGCGGCACCGATCCATGCAGTTTGTCTTCCCCAACAGAAGCAGAAGCTCGAGCATCGAAAGGAACTTGGTTAGCGACTGATTCATTCTCCGAGAACACACGCTAGCGCTCGGATGATGGATGCATACAGCTTCGTGTGTAATGGCAATGATGCGTGCATATTCCCACAGCCATGAGGCTACGAGATGACGAAGTTTGATGACTCTCAAGTGATGCCGTAATCCATCGTCCTTCACCGCTCTTTCCTGGGCCATGCTGTTGTCTAGCTACGCCTCACAGTTCTCAAAGCAATCTCTCTGGGCTCGACCATCTACAGTGAAATTTCGCAAAACTGAATCTCTGGTGCTCTTCTGTCTTTGAAGTCCTCGGCCCAACCTCGGACTTGCCAAAGGGGTCTGATCTTTGCCATCATCCTCCTAGCACCTCAAACACTACTGGGATCCCCTGAAAGACGCATCGAAAGCAGTCGGTAAAATTCAGCCTCCGCAAAATTCATATTTACATTGATACGCTGCTCACGGTGACTTTTCGGTGTGTCCGAATTCTGCGGGGGGTGGTCAGCAATTGATCGGTCTCATTTCAAAGGATCGTAGCTCAAACGTCGCAGCTTGCAAGAAAGAGGGCCTGATTTTATTCTATTTATTTCGAGGGGTACCGTAGCTCAATGTTTCAAAGCGCTATTTCACGGTCAAGCAGGAAACTCGTGCATTGACTGGCGGACTCTCTCGTGGTGCACTGACTGCATCATGAATAAGTGGACCTCCCTCACCGCGGGAGCACGTGGACCCATCTTGCTAAGCGCCTTCTTCGATGCCGTGGATCACCATTTATTCGAGCGTTGGGTGCCGCGGTGCCGCGGCGGCGTGCTGAAACCAGGTCCCAATACAAATCGGCACGGGCTTTCAAAGATAGTCTCCTGTTTTCGGTCAGCAGGACAGGCTCTATAGGCACATCGCTTGAAAACATCACCGAGATGTCACAGCCTGACATTCAGTTTCAGCTAGCTTCGGCAGATAAGTGCTTGGAGTGTGGATGGCCTAGACCGCCGCGATTGTCCTTCAAAATCTAAGAGTTACGTAAGGCTTGGCTCTGCGCAGGAGTAGTAATGCGGTTTCAAAACGATATTCGAAGGAGACGGAAATGGCTGCGTGCATAGGCACTGAATGTCCTCTCCTCGGAATAGGATCTCTGAGGCTGCTCGGTGAGATCGGTCAGGAGGCCGGCTCGAGGCTGATCAGAAAGTTGCGCATGTGTTGACCGCTAAGCCACCGACCACACGTCATACATGGCTTTGTCCCAACGCAACAAAGATTTGTGTTGGGCCAGCTGGCTTGACCCGGATATGTCGAGTGGCAAGAATAAGAATGCCGTTAGTCGTGCGAACACGCACACTCAAGTTCCGGTCAGCTGACTCGCTTTTGGCCCATTTGTGGGTTTCCCTTGCGATGGACTATCAATATGTACATAGAAGTCGTCCGAATATGGTAATCTATCGCTGGCCAGTGACCCCAGATCTGCTACTTAGTTTTGACAGCAGAACTTTCCCATGAGGCTAAAACTCAATCGTCCATAGACATGCAGCCCAAGTTCGGACGTTGCTCTTACAGCGCGATATAGTGGCCACTGCCCACAACCTTTAAAATCTGCGTTGGTGATAATTTCATGCTTTTTTCCGCTGGCTTCCGAGGCCATGATTAGATAGCGTGTCGATCACGATCGAGATCTGGCATGTCATTGACAGCGAGATCTTTAGATCTCGTTCGACTCTCTCCGGACGTCCGAGGACAAGTATATGGCGGAGCTCGGTTCACGCGGCAGATTCTCCATTGTCTTTTAACAGAATAGGTCAGCGTCATGGTCTCTATCTTGCCCTGATGCCACCCCCAATCATGGGATGGTCCCCCTCGAATGCTGGAGGCGACATCGTCGACGAGTCGACGTTGCCCAGAGAGATCGTCTTCCCGGCGCAGCCTGCGTCCTCCCCCTCCTCGTCCTCCGACGCGCCGCGACGAGGAAGGATACCCCGTCCCCGCAACGCGTTCATCATGTTCCGCCAGTGGTTCGTGCAGCACCGCCCCTCCAAGAGGTCCCTCAAGGGCGCGGGCTCCGGGGTGTCCGTCTCCCGCGAGGCTAGCATCGCATGGCATGCGCTGCTCCCCGACCAGAAGCAGTACTTCTACAAGCTCGCGGAGATTGAGAAGAAGCGACACGCTCTCCAGTATCCGGGCTACCAGTTCAAGCCCCGCCGAAACCCCAAGGGCTCCTCTCAAAACGTCGCGGCGACTATCGCTGCCACGGGCTGTTCTGCTGCGCCTAGTCCTGCTCTGTCGACCAGCTCCTTCGTCTGCCGAGCGGCCGAGCTGAAGCGCCCGTCATCAGCGCAGACCGTCGGCCAGCCAGCGCTCGACTACGGCTCGCAGGCGCATCAGACTCCCCCGATGACGCCGCCGCCAGAATCTGTGGCGTCCGCCTCTCTCGCGTCAATCAAGGCCGACCGCAGGCGCTCGTCCTCTGTTCCCGTCACCTCCGAAGACTACATCTACATGTCGAGGTTCCTGGCTGCAACTGAAAATGCAGCCCCGTTCATTGTGACCACGGACGACTTGGTTTCCCAACCGATGTCGGCGACATTCTCTGACCACAGACGCTCGCGGTCCTTGAGTCGAGAGTGGCCAACCGCGGCTCCTGCTCTCGAGGCAGCACCACTCGAATCGATGTTCCTGGATCCTCGTAGTCCGCAGGTATGCGCGGTGCCTGAATCTATGCGTTCCCGCGGAGCTCATCCTCCTTTTAGCACTCTCACGAATACGTCTCGTCTTTCAATTATTTTCCTCCGCGATCGCCGAACAACGCGACGCTTGACCCGGCCGCGCTCTTCCTACCCAACGCTCCCATGCCTCCGCTGGACGCGGTCGCGTCGTCGCTGGTCGATTGCGAGGGCGCACCGCCTCGCCTCTCACCGATGACTACGTCGATCATCGTCACCCCTGTCGCGCCTACAGCCAAGCGGCCTCCGCGGGTCACCCCCCCTCTGTGGCTTGGGATACCCTCTTGCTCGGAGAGCTTTGATCTCGCGGCGCTCTCCGAAGGGTCCTCGCCACCCGAGTCCGTCACCGAGCAGGGCTTCTCCCCGCCGCTGGGTGCCTTCGAGTGGGATGGCTCGCCGCTGATGTACCCTGTTGACGTCGGATTTGAAGATCCCTCCTACTTCTCCCAACATGTGTTCGCTCCAGAAGACCTGGACTTCTCTCTTCCGGGGTATCTCTGATGCGCCTTCCACCCAGTTCTCATCGTCGCGTTGCTGTCTCTATTGTATATATTTATTTCCGACATACTCACCCAGTATTCGCCCGTAGAACTAAATGTATATCGCCGCCAGGCGCCTGTATCATCTGCTGTATATCTCCCTTCTGGGGCTGTTTATGATAAGAATCAATCAGGTTTAAGGTTGGCTGTCGAGTCATCGTCGAAGGCCAACCCTAAAACTGAAACTAGTTGAATTTACGGCATCATCGGCCCCTGTGCTTGGCTTGGATCATCTCCTTGGCTTCGGCTTCAGGTTATCATACGATTGACTCGAGGCGCTTGAGCGAGATGTATTGAATCAGAATGCATTGGGTCAGACCTATGGCTGCCGTGCAGGCCATGGCTGACGTCAGGGCACAGGAGGGCCCCTGTGTTGTGACAGAGCTAAGCATACTGCAAGATACTACAACTGGGAGCGTATCTGTGTACTTATCAGGAGCCCTATTGAGCCCTGTTCTCTTCTGTCCACCGTACGTGCCAACCATCTTGACTGTTGACATTGTTGTCGATCTCTCAAGCGTTATACACTTCTTGACCCGAGGATCACGGGCAGTCACGTGTCTGAGTGCAGTCTGTATCTGGTTCCGAATTGCTGACTGACGCCGTTCGGAAAGTGAAGCGTTCAGCTAACCCTTCGAAGGATTGACTCCCGAAGAACATGATCAACTGAAGGTTCGTGGTCGAGCATAAGGTGTGGGCGCATGTGGGTGCAGTTTTGTCAGATTACGTACTCCTATGACGTAGTGTGGGGACGCCTTCTCACTCAACACTCAACTCTGTGGATCGACACGCTCGCGGGACGGGAGTCCCCAAGCACCCGTCTTTTACCATCGATACTGTACTCTCTTCTGGATGGCGGGAATTTCTCTCAGCTTCCACACGAACGTCAGCCAAAGTTCAGGCCTTGTGTGGCCAGTCGCGGTGGATGACACGAAGGTCTTCTATCACAGTTTCAGACGGATGCTTGCAAGTAGCGGGACAATTCGGAAGATTTACAAGAAATGTCTCAACACGAAGCAATCTGAGACCAGGCCTAGGGTGCATGCGGCAACCGTCTGACGCAATCTCTTCTGATGTCTCACTGCGTCCTGGACTGCCGCGTCTGTCGAGCCCATAGCGGCAGTAACACTAGTACGGCATACGGAGGTCTCACTGGCCTTCCCATTTGATGATGTCATTGGAGGCTGCAGTGCGCTCTCTATAGCTAGTTCTTCTTCCGCTGTGGAAAGTGGTCTCTCTGTCGACTTTCTGCAAACTTGACGTCTCGATGAACTCGGTCCATGGCACTGTGTATTTGTTCGCCATTGGCCCGGACAGACTCTCGGAAGTTGTTCGCCAGAAGTTGTTCGCCAGGCTTTCTGTATCTCTCGGAAGTGAACTGTCTCAGCTAGAAGTGCGGATGTAGAATGTGAATGTCTGAGCCCCTATCTCCGACTTTTAACATATAAGGCGGGCACAGGCCACAGAGAGCGCATATCCACTGCTTTAACTGTTTAACACAAACCACCACTACCTACCATCTACTCTGCATCAGTAAGTCCTTCTCTCGCTCTCTGAATCCGTCGTTCTCATTTGCTTCGAGCATTATCATGTTGCACACCACCACGTATGATCTCCCCGAGTCCATCGCTCCGTCCTCCTCGACCTCGAGTGTCTCATCCGACTGCTCGTCGAGCAGCACAATCACCCTTCGAGACCGTCGAGGAGTGTCGCTGTGGATCTCGTTCTCCGCTGTCTTCCCGGTCGCTCCCAAACCCAAGGGAGCGCTCGGCCCGACCGTGAACAACATCCCCCGGCGGCGGAAGCGCAGTAGTGTCGTTTCCATCGACTCGCGGCCCGTGTCTGAGGACTCGTCATCACTTGACCGGGTCGGCTACTTTGCGTGAGGGGTCGGGTCGGGTCGAAGGGGAGACGGAAATGGAGTTGTATGCGGTCGTGTGATGGAAATGAGGTAGGCTCTATCTTGTTGCCCATATCCAATCGTGTGCTGATTCTCGCCTGCAGCCATCCGCGCCGACAGACCAAGTGTCAATTACCATCACACCAGTCCAATTGGACTTGGTTGACGTGAAGCGGCGGTCTCTAAGCCGTCGCAAGCGACGAGGGACGGGAATGATGGATTCACTCATCATATCGCCGTCGTCGTCATACTCGCAGCTTAAAGAGCAGCGTAGCACGTCGTTCTCGATACAAATCATGACTTTAATCATTATTCCAAATATAAACCCATAAATGTCCACTGGACTTGTCCTGAGCATTAGTCGCCGGGTATGATGTGGGTCGAGTCACAGTTTCCATATCATCAACAGTAAGTACCTCAGTCTCAGATAAACATCGGCGTCCATCAACGAAACGCTTCATCGGAGTAGTGAGAAGACCGTTCAGGCAATCAAAGTAGAAGCAAAAAAGAGAGCATGGATGCATGTTTTTGGGCGGGATTGGATCATACAAACATAAAGTAACGACCGACAAAAACATGATCTACTGCTCGGCAGCACGCTTGCGGCGGAGGTCACGCTCTTCAGAGATAGTGAGCTTGGTACCCTTGCCCTTGGGAAGCGATATCCAGGGCTTGTTGCCCTCACCAATGACGAAGATGTTGGAGATACTGCGCGAAGCATGAGCAATGCTCACAAGCCGATTAGCCAGCAAAAAACGCACCGAGTAGCGAAAGTCCTGTCCAGAGAATCCTTCACATGCACAATGTCAAATTCACCCATGTGCTTCTCCCGGTGCACAATGACACCAGCACGGCCCATGTTGCGCCCACCAGTGATGATGCACATGTTGCCAGTGTCGAACTTGACAAAGTCAACGAGCTTGTTCTGCACAAGGTCGAACTTGACGGTGTCGTTCACGGCAACGGAGGGATCGGGGTACCGGATGGTACGGCCGTCGTGGGTGACAATGTGGGGGACACCTCGGGCACCGATGGCAACTTTGCGGACCTTGAGAAGCTTGAAGGTAGCCTCCTCAGGTGTGATGCGGTGGATGGCGAAACGACCCTTGACATCGTACAAGAGACGGAAATGCTCGCCAGACTTCTCAATGGAAATGACATCTGGTGACTACAGTTAGATCCAAAAGTGATTGGATATTCAGACATCATCGTACCCATGAAGCCAGCGGGGTAAGTTGCATCGGTGCGGACCTTGTTGTCGATTTTGATGAGGCGCTGTTTCACGATGGACAGGACCTCCTTGCCCGTCAGCGCGTACTTTAGGCGGTTGCGCAGGAAGACGGTGAGCGGCAAGCACTCGCGCAGCTTGTGAGGACCGGGGGAGGGACGAGGAGCCTGGAGAAAGCATGAGTCTACCGGCTTGTTTTGCGCCGAGAGTCAAGCCACGCACGTAGGTTCCGCTCAGCTTGTCCAACATCCAAGAGGAGGGCGCAGCAAGGCGCTTCAAGTGCTTTTTAGGTCCGCGAGCCTTCAACAAAAGTCAGCCTTCATCGGCCCCACGAAACAAGATCCACCACTCCAATCGCCAAGTTGAAGAGCAGAATCCTCGACTGACCATGTTGAATCACTACGTCGAGGCGTCGGTCGGTCTTGAGGGCGACGACTGGTCAAGAAAAGTCGGGGAATGGACGAGTGATGTGGCAGTGCCGGAGTGCCTATGTAAGCAGCTGCACAGTCACGCGCATGCACGATCAGCTGCTTATCACGAGACCATTAATTACATTTGGCTGGGAACATTTCGAACATGACAATTGGGCTCGCCACCCGGACATCTCGGAACTTTCCCGTTGGTCATCGTCCTTCGCTTTATGTTTTCTCTGCTCCTGTAATTCGTACAGCTGCTTGCTATCAGCAATGTTGCCTCGAGCACTAGCCGTGTCTGCTATCGTACGTGTTGATCTGGCTCTCGTTTCCGTCATAAATTTGAAAATCATCTGATGTTCTCAATATGCGCTCTCAAGCTTTCAGCTCATGGAAGGTGGAGGGGAATGTTGAGTGTACCGCCACAGACTTGACAGGTCTTCTTGAGAAGTTCTCACACCTTAGCTGAGTAATCGTGGTACGCATTTCTGCACCCATTCTCGCTTCAATCGAAAGTCAACGACGACTCGGAGGCGATTGTCTTTATCTATCGTCACTTTTTGTTATGTATGCGTCACCCGAGTTACTCTCCACGTGATGATCTGAATGCACATTTAGGTTTGGTGGCACAAATTGCTGTGAACCAGAGATATTTTATGTTCTCAACAGACCCCTTCGACCAGCAGTGCAATGACCGAAACCCGATTGATTGAAGGAACCTCGGCATCTGCGATTGGATCAGATGTGTTATTGATTAGATTATGTTATCGTACAGTAATCACCACATCAACAACTTTTCTCTACGCCCAAAATGTCGGTATACCCGTACAGCCAGCTTCTCTTCGCTGCATCCACAGCAGTAGCTATAACCGGCCCAGTCATCCAGGTTTTCAACGCGAGGTAGGTATAGTCGCCTCCTCCCTTAAAAGCGGACAAGGATCTGACTCGGAGCTAAGCACAGGCAGTCTTGTCGCGAGCACATCCGAGTCCTCGAAGAGCTCCCAAGGAGGCGAGGACATCGTGGGTGGTTCTGATGCCGGACCCATCCGGATGGCTGCGATAAACGACGGCGCGACACATCTCGCGACGGCTGCAGACGACAAGAATCTCAGAGTATGGAAGATTGGCGCATCGGGACTGGAGCTGCTCAGTGCACGGTACGAACCTCTGATGCATACCTTGCTCGTTGAAGCCGACCATGTTTGAATCACTAGCGAGCTGCCTAAAAGGCCGACGGCCTTGAAGTTCACGCGGGATGGACAAACTATACTGGCGTCTGACAAATTCGGCGATGTCTTTAGGTTGGTCGCTTTCGCGTCTTACCGCCGATACATCATTGACTTCCGGGATTTCAGCTACACCTTGGAACCTGTGTTGATCCCCGAGCCGTTACCAGAAGAAAGACAGAAGTCGCGTGCAATGTTGTCCCATGACAATCCGTCTGGAGGCACTCTCGTCCTGGGGCACGCATCTTTCTTGACCTCATTCACCCTTACCGCCGACGAGAGATTCATTGTAACTGCCGACCGAGATGAGCACGTTCGCGTCAGCTGGTATCCGGAGGGACACGTCGTCGAGCGATATTGTCTCGGGCACACCAAGTGCATCAAGCTCCTCTCCCTGCGTTCTTTGTCCTGATTATCCTCTGCACCTAGATTTGTCTCCGCGGTGCACATTCCTATCTTCGCATCGTCAGAACTCGTATCAGGGGGTGGAGACTCAAGTTTGAGAGTGTGGGATTGGATGAGTGGCAAGCTTTTACGTGAGATCCCCATTCTCGACACAATTGAGCCCTTCATTCGAGTCTTTCCCGGCAAGAAATCAAAGAGTCCGGAAGACGATGATGGAGAGGGCAACGCAGATGGAAAGAAGAAAAAGAAGAAAGGACGGAAAGCGAAGGTCAAGGACCGGGCAGCGGCCAGAGAAAATGCGATCCTCGTCGACGAACAACCAGAAGACGATTTGGAAGAGGAGGAAAAAGCTGATGGGGCACTGGATGAATCCTCGAACGAAAAAGTCAAGGTTCTCGTTGTGCAGAGAATCGAATCTCTGCGGACTCCAGAGGGAGGAAACTATCTAGTTTTCAGTGCTGTAGGGTGCGTGTCAACGATGCCGTGTCCACTGTACCGGGCAACTGACCAAATCCTCTTTAGTGCCACAGCCTTGTTCTTACACACTGGAGACTCAGTTCAACCCTTCGACTTTGGGCTGCCGGTGACCGATTTCAACCTGGCCTCTGACGGCTCGATTTGGGTGTGCTTGGACGTCTCATGGTCAGAAGCTGGATCGACGACTTCTGATGCGCTGGTTCGCGCTGTGCGCGTCGTTGATGGACGGGTGCGTACCCTTATTTCAAAATGGACTAACACTGACGTTTGCCAGCTGGTAGAAGTAGCTATGACCGATTCACATCCTCTTCTTGTCGGTCTGAATTCCGAAATTTCCAGAATTGGAGGTTTGTCAGTATCCACTCGTGGAAGCTCTAATTTGAACTTCTTCCTACAGCTACACCAGCTGAGATTGCATCTCTGGAGCTTTACCTACCTCTGATCGCGATGCCGAAAAACACAGAAGATTCGTCCGACCCGATGGATCGCACGCAGTTTGAGAGCAGTGCAAGCAAGAAGGAGCAGGCTCGCCTGAAAACTAAACAAGCAGTAGAACGAGCAGCCCAGAATCAGGGCGAGGAAAAGGAGGAGCCAGAGACCAAACGAGCACGATCACAGCAGGATGAAGATGTTGCCATGTAAGTAACATCCGAGTAGACTGCCGGACCCAGATTTGGAAATCACGCATTTTGAAAATTTTCGGCTGTGTCTTTGGTATTATGAATGTCCTAGAATTTCAACAGACGCAGGTCTGACGAAAGTCGATGCGCGAAGAGCCTGATGACGCGTGACCGTGACCAGTCCCATCACGTGCAAAGCTAAAAAAAATAGATTATACACGCGATATTGGAGTCGATGGCAAAATTTCCGATCTTTTGAAGATCATGACTCGGAGTGATTTTCCCCCCTATTTTGCAAGTGAATATTGCGTCGATATCATCAAGTACTGTACCTTCTGTGAACACTCTTCCTCTGACTGCAATTGTGACCTGTCACATCATATCTGGTCATCACGGATCTTTGGCAGTCCGCCACAACACCCAAGCAATGCAAAGCGGATGGTAGCTGGCTTATCTCTGAATTCGGACTCGTACGAAATGCATTCGACAGCAAACCTTGGGACAGAGCGACAAGGTCTGCTGGAAGCTTCTGAGGATGTGGACGTCGACCAGCCAGTCATACACCAAGCACTATTGACCCCCACCACTCGCGCACTTTGACAGATCCGTGATGCGCGGTGATGTTGCGTGAGTAAATCCTATTCACCCAATGATGTTCCATGGCAGTGATGAAATAATCTAATTAATGCATGGGACTCTCAGCGTGGAATGTCTGACGCGTTAAGTCATGCCATGTGATTCTATTTATTCGATTTTTGCCTCTCTTCTCTTGTATTGCTTCATGGAAAAAATATTATAAATAATAAAACCAACAGTCACTGGATAATGCTCAATAACATGCATATGAAGGTGATAAGGGTGTGACCAAATCCATAACGTTTTCTCTACAGGGGAAGCTTCCTTGTTCTAGTGGTCAACGGTGTGACCGTCTGACATTAAACTGTGTGGAATGGATTACGGTCTGTCGTTCGATCCTGTAGCTGGATTTCTTTTACTTGTCGTGCCATTTTGTACCGTTATGTGGTCCGGAGCTGAAAACGAAACAGTGCTGCTTCTCTATTTTTTAGTATCTATATTATACTGATGTATGGGTCTCTCACATTGTGATGTGTTCACTCGCAATTAAAATACAAAATGGAGATCCTCCAGGACCCTGAATTCCACCAATGCACATAGCCTCAAATCAAGAGCAATCTGGAGATTCTCAACTTTTAAAGACACTAGAACAGCCAAAAAAAATTATAAGCAGTTAAAACCTATGTAGGTATCTACAGCTTGACACAAGCTTGGGTGAATAGGATTTACTCACGCAACATCACCGCGCATCACGGATCTGTCAAAGTGCGCGAGTGGTGGGGGTCAATAGTGCTTTCTCAGTCATACCCTCGGCCGAAGGTACGTGTCTTACCTCCGCCCTTTCTTCCTGGTTTGGAACACGCGGCAGGCTCCAGCAGGATGATGCTCCGACTCGGCCTCTCCTTCTTTCTCTTTGGTCTCATCAACAATGGTGCACACTTTGATTGTTTTCGACTTCTTCTCGACTAAAACTTCTCATAGTTCTCTACGTCATCATTCTCTCGGCCGCGCTGGACCTCGTTCCGCCGTCGACGCCCAAAGGCATCATCGCGTTCTGCAATATCGCACCGGCGCTTGCTGCCAAGGTCGGATGGCCGTATGTACTGAAAGGGAAGATAAGGTACACGACGCGGTTGGTCGGATGCTGTGCCCTCAGTGCTGCCGGCATGTTGGTGCGTATCCGAGGTTCTCTCACATACGCGGTCTCACGTCGTTTAGGTTGTCGCCTTCTTTGATAGCCTATTCATGCGTTTGCTCGGGATCAGCCTGGCGTCATTCTCGTCCGGTGCGCTGCAAATCCTGCCTACATTATTGTCCGAGTTGACTGTGACCTGTAGGCCTTGGTGAATTGACTTTCTTACAACTCTCGACGACCTATTCGCCTGCCTCTGTTGCTGGGCACAGCGTCGGATACTTCGCCTCGGGCACTGGCGCAGCCGGCCTTGTCGGTGCTTTCCTTTGGTGGGAAGTACGAGGGCTTGGTGTGCGTGTTGGTGTCGGTATGTCATCGGTCTGTGTTGTCCCTGCTTCTTGTGCCCGCGTCTCACTCCCCCAGTTCATGCCCTTGATCATTCCCGTGGCCTACTTCTTCCTGCTGCCAAAACCAGCGTCGTTCTCTGTTCCATCGGCATCTTATTCTCCACTTGCTACAGACGAGAACGGCGAACAGCGAGAAGAGGATGCCGTCAAACGACCTGTGGCTTTATCTGCAGCTGATAAATGGCAACTGGTGCGACCCATGCTAGTCAAGTACATGCTTCCGCTATGTGAGTGGTCACCGGAGATAAACAGGCTTGTGCTCATCCGTTCCCAAGTCTTTGTCTATCTTGTCTGTTGTCCTTTTCTTCCTTTCGATTAACGCTAATCCGCTGCCTGGAATAGTTTGAATACACTATTAATCAAGGAATCGCTCCTACCCTGCTCTATCCAGTTCCCGATCCAGAAACCCACTATCTCCTGAGCAAGCTCATCAAATCCGTTCGCGACTATTATCCTCTGTGGCAGGTGTGTTATATCTACCGTCATGTGGTATTTTTCTCACCAATTTCAGCTCGTGTATCAAACGACTGTGTTTCTGTCGCGTTCCTCGATCTCGATTGGTATTCCACCACTCCCTCCTCGATACTTGTCGCTTCCTGCCATCCTTCAAGCCTGCATCTTCGCTGTTCTCGCTTGTGAATCTGGTGTAGGGCTGTTCTCCGCAGACGTGGATGAGTCTTGGAGTATCACTCTCGTGTTCCTGCTTGTCAGCCTGGAAGGGATTTGTGGTGGCTCTGCCTAGTACGTCATTCTCTTTCCTTGCCGAGCAGTCGACCGACTAAGACGCCGCCAGCGTCAATGTGTTCTACCGAATCAATCAGGAAGACAGCTCTGGCGACGAGACGGAGTCCGATCCTGAGCGCACTCGACAGGAGCGAGAATTCAAGATCGGGTCTGTCGGCTTCGCTGACTCCAGCGGTATCTTGGCTGCGTCGCTGTTTGCCGTTCCGATGGAAGTTGGATTGTGTCGTGCCCAAGTGCAGCGAGGGAAGTTGCTGTGTAAGGGCTTGTAGATTAGATGTACACCTTGCTCATAGGTATCTGTATTATAGCTTCTTGCGATAAGGTGAGCAATCGCCAGTGACCAGGAAGAGAATGAGACCGGGATGGGGTGAATTGCAACCCTCATGGGGACTGGAAGCGGGGTCGATTACCTAAACTTTCACCCGCGGAATCAAATTGATTGGCCACTTCTCTTGACCTATTCTCTTCTTCACTACCAATTTCTGACCATGCCTGAGCCCCGCGCTGTGCCCACTTGAACGTCTTGTCCAACCACATAAATCATTCCTGGCATGAATCACTACCAACTCACCAATTTTGGCTGGTTTCATCTCTCAGGACTGTAGGGCTGTGGCCCAAAGTGAGCTACTTGACTCCCCTTACTCGATTGTTCCGCAAGTGACCGAACGAAGACAAAGAGCGGGTAGCTCTACGTGAAATGTTCCATTAGGTGTCGGATGAGGTGAACACTGGCAAGCTTGGGACAACAGCGGATGATGTCTCAGCTGCGAGCGCGGATGTAAAATGTCTCACCCCCTATCTCCGACTTTCAACATATAAGGCGGGCACAGGCGACAGAGGGCGCCTATCCACTGCTTTAACTGTTTAACACAAACCACCACTACCTACCATCTACTCTGCATCAGTGAGTCCTTCTCTCGCTCTCTAGATGGATCGTTCTCATCTGCTTCGAGCATTATCATGTCGCACACCACCACGTATGATTTCCCCGAGTCCATCGCTCCGTCCTCCTCGACCTCGAGTGTCTCATCCGACTGCTCGTCGAGCAGCACAAGCACCCTTCGAGACCGTCGAGGAGTGTCGTTGTGGATCTCGTTCTCCGCCGTCTTCCCGGTCGCTCCCAAACCCAAGGGAGCGCTCGGCCCGACCGTGAACAACATCCCCCGTCGTCGGAAGCGCAGTAGTGTCGTTTCCATCGACTCGCGGCCCGTGTCTGAGAACTCGTCGTCTCTCGACCGGGGCGGCTACTTTGCGTGAGGGGTCGGGTCGAAGAGAAGACGGAGATGGAGCAGTATGCGGTCGTGTGATGGAAATGAGGTAGGCTGTCTCCCGGCGGTAACACTTTTCCTTCATGCTGAGACTTTCCCCTAGCCATCCACGACACCAAATCAAAAGTCACACACTCTGAGACCCCAGTCCAGTCGGACTCTGCCGACAAAGAGCGGCAGCCTCGAAGCTATCCTAAGCGACGAGGCATGGGTTTAATCACCATACGTTCCATATGCTTAGCAAGCTGTGGTCGTTATAAATCATATTATGCATCCATCCACACAGTTACTTCATTAGGTTGAGATATCCATGGTGTGAGAGCTCTCTTTGAATCCACGCTTGAATTTCGAGAACGGAAACTCAAGTTCATTCTTGAGCAGTGTCGCAGACTACCATGAGCTTGTCCCCTTGATGCGCACACGGAACCTTGTGTATTCACTGAGCAACTAGAGATAGCTATATCCAATTAAATAACCCCGAACCGAACCTAGAGCCGCGAAGATACAAGTACAAGTACATACAAGTGTGACTATATCCTTGACATGAGACTATTCAGAGACACCAAGACCGTTTTGAAACTGCGATTTCGTGGGACCTGAGCAGGGCGGTGTCCACCCCAAACGACTGTTTCATCGCTGCAGCCTCTTCGGAGAAACAGGACATCTCTGGCGAGAAGAACGTTGGGGGAGACTGGAATATGCGCAGATAGCTCAGCCTCCCGGCGCCATTTCCTCGTCGTCCTCGGGTCGCAACGAGTGTTCTGAACGCGTCGAATGTCTGGCAATTGAGTTCGGACGAATACACGAGCGATTCGAGAGACGGGCATCGTTCTCCCGTATTGAGACTCTGCAGAAGCTCGAGTCCTTCTTGCCCGTTGGTGGAGTCGACCAGTAGGAACTGCAACCACGGGAGGCAGTCTAAACACATCGCAAGCAAGTTGGACGCAGTCGCTTTGGTGCATTCCCACATCGAGAGCCGGCGGATTGCGGAAGGGGAGCTTTGAGACAGGAGATATCGCACAAGCGAATCTGCACTCGAACGGTGCAGGCTTAGGTCCTCGACCGCCGGCAAGTCCAAGAACGGCAAGATGTCGGTGTCGGTGTCGTGGGTGTGGTAGCAAAAGCGCCTGAGATAAGGCAGCTTGATGCTGCCCGGCTCGAAGTACTGTTGATCGGGTGCGACATTCCATCCGTGGCGCTTGGCAGTGGAAAGCACACACTCGATCAGGTGGGGCGTGCAGCTGAGGACGTTCAGAGCCTCGGTGCGCCCGAGATACGGCACCTCCAGATGCGTCAGCTGTGCAAGTGGCACTCCACTCAAGCGAAGCAAGTTCGCGGATTGTTTGTGCTGCCTGAAGCGCAGCTCTCGAAGGTTGGGTGCGGAAGCTAGGACGGCGGGTATAGCACCAGGGACACTCCCGATGATTTCGATGGTGCGCAACTTGGGGAAGGAAGCTCCGCTCAGCACGGAGTCGAGGGCATTAACCCGTCGCGGCCAGATATTCGACCCCGCGCAGGATTCGAAGTTGAAGCGCAGTGATTCCCATCTGCCAGAGAAGCTCAGAAGGAGGTCAAACAGATCATCGTCCGGCCTCCCCCAAAGCAGCACATGTGCGCCCAACTCCGTGCAGCCCGAGATTCTGTCCAACTGCACTTCCAGCATCTGCCGGCGGGTATGCAACATAGCTTTGGGTACCCTCTCGGTCAGAGTAAGCACAGACCACAGGCCGGGATGTCCCAGCGCTGCCTGCCGCCAAGCCCTACAGACGACGCCCACAGCCCAGGGCGCGCGGAAGTCCGATTCCCAGGACCGTTGCGCGAAAGCGTCCGCAGGAGGGTTGATCAAAGAGAAGATGTGCTGCAGGATCTCGGTGGGGAGGTAGCGGATGGGTGACAGTATCGCGCGATGCCGGGCAATAGATTGGAGCGTCGCGTCTCGTCGCGATAGCGCCATGGCAAGAGAGGCATTGAGCGCGGTAATCTCTGTCTCGACAGAGGCTAGGACAGCCTGGGCGGAGGTAAGGAGATCATAGGTCGACTGGCACTCTGACGACGAGTGTGGGGGCTCATTCGAGGTGAGCAGGTGAGTGAGGAGCACGCTCATGGGGAAGGAGAAGTAACGGGAAAGAGAGAGGGAGTCGCACGCCTAGTGTTTCAAGAGTCATTTCTTGTGCCCGTGAAGTAATCATCAGTGATCTGGACCAGGTGGTAGCGAACTTCTGGCAACAATGATAGGTCACACGCAGACGGAAGACAGAAGCTAGGAGGATAATGCAATGTGGGTGTGAGCCAGATATGGAGGACCGCCTCGGACCAGCCCGCTCAGTAAGCAGCAGGAAGTCCGGGTGTGATTTGAATGGCACGGCGTTCAAGCAAAGCTGCGAGCACGTGCTCGCGACCTTCAGCACTGCCACGAATTGAAAGCGATCGGCCGCTCAGACCTGCAGCCCGGCCCCAGGAGTCTTTGTCAATTTCCCCGAGGGGCCTCGGGACTCCCTCGATCTTGCGGCAGCCTCTTTGCGCTTAGACCCCTGCGGAGTTCGGACAGGATTGTCTGGGAGACTCACTCGGGTTTCGGTATGGACACCAAGTGTCATCACCTCAGGTGCATCTGTCACAGATGACACCCCCCCCTCTAAGGCCCTCGGAAGTGGTCAAAATCGGGGCCTAACAGGCCCCACTATTCCCAGATGGGTCTGCAGCTCCCGGCCATTGTAGAGGCCTGTCAAGCCATCAATTGCAATCACTGTATTGCCTACCCATCTGCACGGGCCAATGTTTTTGACAATCTCCGTCATTTGCATGGCCTGTTCAGGAATATATTGCAATTGTTTCTGTGTCATGTACATGCAATATATAAGCTTTTTTGCCTACTGATCAGCATAGGACAATGTTTTTGACAATCTCCATCATTTGCAAATGAATCTGTATTGCGTACATACATTATATAAGCTTGTATTGCCTACCCATTGCCATAGGATAGTGTTTTTGACAATCTCCGTGATTTGTGTGGACTCTTCAGGGATAAATTTTGATTAATTATATATTATGTACATGCAATACATAAGCTATCACTCTGTCTAGGATGTTGTTGCAAGCATCTAACCCAGTACGCAGTGGCATCTGTATGCCAGCATTTACTATCAGCTCTTTGAATCATATCCTAGAATCAAAGGCAACACAGTAGCCATTGAAAAGGCAGCAACAGGAACCTATTACATCGAAGAATGTGTGTAAAGGCTAGATGTAAATCAAGATAATGTAGGTATGTATATACAAATGTCATGCAGCAGTCCATAGATACAACATCAAAACGTAATGCACCCTACTTGAACAGTCCCCGGTCCTCAAGCCTCTTGCGCTGCTCCGGGGTCATCCCCTTGAGAAGGTTGATGAGCTGAGCGGCGCCATCAGCATCCTCTGGACTGAGATCTGCCAGCGGTGCATGATGCGGTGCCGCAAATGCTCTCGTCGGCGGAGGCATCTGCGGTGGAGCTGGGTGGAAGGAGTCCTTGGATGGACTGTACTCAGACCTATAGCCCGGAGGGCCAGACGGCAGGGGATATCCGCGAGGAGGATACCCGCGTTCATACTGATCGTATCCCCGACCAGGTCCACGCTCATACCCATGCTCATACCCCCGATCATACCCCCCATGCTCATACTCCCCACGATCATAACCTCCATATCCCCTGTATCCCCCATAACCTCCATATCCATCGTATCCACCGTACTGAGGGCGACAAGAATCATAGTCGCTGTCGTAGGGGCGGGGGTAGTCAAATTGGTCACGGTAGGATGCATCTGCAGACGCATTCCACCTGGAATTCGATGACCCAGCCTCAGATGGAGGACGAGACGCTTGTCGGGAGGGTCCAGCCTCAGGCTGGGGCGGATGTCGAGGTGCGAGGTGAGAAGGACCAGCCTCAGGTTGACGGTCTTGATGACGCAGATGGGAATGTCGATGCATCTGTGGTGATGCTGGAGTGAGCCACTGACCCTGGTTGGGTCCATGGTGGATCGATCCAATGTGTTCCCCTCAATGGACATCAAAGACGGAGCCAACCCGCTCACTACCAGAAGGAGCACGAGCCACAGTCTGGTAGTAGTCACCACCATCATCGGGCATCTGCAACTCCCTCCGCAGATGTGCACTTTCGGCCTTCAAACGTGCAGTCGTGACCTTGAGGTGCTCGTTCTGAGCACGCTGCTCCTCGATCTGAGCACGCTCCTCTGCAGGCGTCCGGTGCGGCGGCTTGGGGTTGAAGGGCTCAGCGTTGTCAGGCCCAGGCAGATCCACATCATCAACGTCCTCTGACTCAGGACCGTCTTGCTGATGGATCTCTACCACCGGTCGACCTCCTCCACCTTGCTGCTTCGAGGACTTGCTGGTCCTTGGGGTCGCCTTCACCTTTGGCTTGGGCTTGGGGCGTTCCAGCTTGGCGGGGGGAGGGGAAGTGTTTGCAGCGGCAGCGGCAGGCTTTGCCTTGGCACCAGTACTGAGCTTCGCTTTGGCAGCAGCAGCAGACGCACGTCTTGGCCGTGGAGAAGGGACCGGAGGCTCTGGGAGCTCCTCCTCTGCACGCTCCTCAGCATCCGAGGTGATGACCGGGGCAGAGATGAAGCGCTGCTTCTTTTTCGGTCGCGCAGATGCATCCATGGGCGGCTCTGGTTCATGGACAGGCGGCTGTGGGGAAGCAGAGACATCTGCAGCGGGCTCGAGGTTGTTGGAGGGAGTGGCTGGAGAAGTGGTGGCAGCGGCAGCAGCAGCAGCGGTATGGGAGCAATGAACACGAGATGAGTGTACAACATCTGCGTGTCGCTCGGCGTCCAGCTCCTCCAAATCCTCGGACTCAGCAGACTCCTCCTCGTTGTCCGAAATGCGCTTGCGCTTCCCACTCACCACCTTCATCGACTTCTTTCCCTTCTTCACCTGCTCCTCTGCCTTCTCCTTCTTCACCCTCTCCTTCTCCATCTTCACCTTCTCCCTTGCTGCCTTCGTCTGCGCCCGGGTCCTCTTCTTTGCTGCCTTTGAGTCCAACTCCTCGATGTAGCCGACGCCGGAGCCAGCTAGCCGGAACATTTCATTGGGGTCACCGCTTTCCTTGGTGTGGAATGGCATTTTCTCCATGATTGGGCCCTTCGAGTGGTTAAAGTCAAGGACAGCAAGGATGGGGGTACCGTTGGCAAGCTCGCAGGGAACGAACTCCCCAAGTGAGGTGGTAGCGTAGGCAAGCAGTTCCTCCTCGGATGCATCTGCAGCAGGCTTGCGGCGGCGGTTGATCGAGGCAATAGCAATATCATCTGCAGATAATGAGTCAAGGTGTGGACAGATGTATCAGCTTCACAACTTACCTGCCTTCAGCTCACACCACTCAAAGAACAACCCAAAGCAATGGTCGTTGACGTCCGAGCTGTACCGCGGCTCCATCACCTGGTCGAACTCCTCGATTGAGCCCATCTCAATCTGCCCAGTTCCCTGTCCTCCGCTGATCTTGCATGACTGCTCCTTGTTCGGAGTCCGAGTCCCAGCTGGCCAGTTCCTGCAGCGAGCACCGAGGCGCAGGCAGAAACTGGCCAACTCTTTCCAACGAACCTTCGACGATGATCCCATGAGGGAGAAGTGGAGGTAGAAGAAGGCGAGGCTGACCAGATTGATCCGCCAAGCCAGTCTGCGCTCGATTGCGGGAGCTCGAGCCAAATCCTTCTCGACCTTGGCGGCGTTCTCGTCGGGCTGGATGGGCTGCAGGTGAAGGTCGCGAATGGGATCTGGTCCCTTGTGAACGGGAATTCGGACGCCGTTTGGGAGAACCCAGTATCCCGCCCGGTAGTCTGGGAAGTCGAGCCCAGTGGCTAGCACAAGCGGGATGCCTCCAGTGCCATCGGGGACACCTGAAACAGGACCAGCGCCAACATCTGGCTCTTTGTCGGCAGGGTAGGATGGGAGCAACGAGAGGTTGGCTCCATCGTCCTCTGTGGTGGACGGCGGGAATGGGGGAGGAGGGCGAAGTCTTGGAACAGATGGATCTGCGAGAGGATCAGGGCGGACAGAGACGTTTGCCACACTGACAGAAGTTAGCCTGGTTATCCTCGAATACACAATGAATACTCATCTGGCGAGAGCGCGGGCAGCACTGCAAATGCCCAGCTCAGTGATTTGCGCCTGATCAAGCTGGCGGAGCTGAGAAGCAAACTTGTAGTAGTCAGCGTCATGTAACAGATGCCTGCTGTAGCAGACTCACCTGGTCTTTCTCCAATGCTGGCGTTGCCACCATGTTCGAGAGCTTGCCATCGTTCACAAGGCCGCCGGTAAGGACAGCAAAGCCCTCGAAGCGAAACAGATTATGCCCATACTCCAACTGCGAAAAGACTGATGAGAATGCATTATGAACGGATGCCTCTGTCCCACTCACCAACTTGACAAACCGCCGAACCCAATCCGCGTACTTCCTGTTGCGCTCACCGTTCGTCTGCTTCAGTGTCACCGCCTGAAGCAGTCGAAATGTCGCAAGTCCCTCCTTGGGATCGTCCATAGTGGCCATGAAGTGCATGTAGCACTTCTTGATGAGTTCCGGATCGTCAGGCAGCAAGCCCTTGCTGAAGTCGAAGTCGGGATAGATGGGTCTGCCAAGGATTTCGGCGTTCAGATAGAACATCTGCGTGAACGTGTTGAAGTCGTTCACAGGGCACAGCGAGGGAAGCTTGAGCTTCTTGGCAAGGAGGTCGGAGATCTGGTCCATGCCCAGAAGATGCTTGTTTCCAATGAAGGACAGCATCTGGAGGAGCCAGCTGAGGTCGTTGTCGAGCACCTTTTGCTTCTCCGCAGTCAGCCTTTCGCCGGTGACAAGGGACTCGATGTTGATGGGCTCGAAGGCGTCCACCTCCAGCTCGTTGCCAGAGCCTTCCTGCCTCTCTTTCCCCTTCCCCTTTTCCTTCCGCCTCTCCCTCTTCTTCTCCTCGTTCTCGTCCTCCTGCTCTTGACCGTCCTCCTCCCCGCCCTCCTCGCCGTCCCTGTCCTCGTCCTCCTCTCCACCCTCCTCACTGTCAATCTCAGCCTCCTCCTCGTCCTCCATGACCAAATCGCTGGTGACATCATCTGCCTGCTCAGCAGTGTCGTCAAGATCCATCTGTGCCCCGCCCTGAGCCTCGGAATCGCTGGGGAGAGTGGTGATGGCAGGAAGGATGGGGGATGCGGAACGCAGAGCGGTTTGGGCCGCTTTTTTCGACCTTTTATGCTTCCAGACGTCTGGAGTGCGCTGGTTGAGCGGGTTGGCAGCTGGGGCTGGAGTTTTGGGAACAGGAGTGGGAGTCTCTTCGCGTTCGGGTGAGGTGAGCATGGTTTGGGCGGGGGTGACGGTTGTCTAAGAGAGAGG